GACGCCAATATCAATAAGGGCCGAGTTGCCAGCAGTCCATCCTATCTGAGCTAACCACAGGCTGATGTTGCCAACCGCTGACCACTGCGATTGACCGCAGTGGACATAGGGCTGATAAAGCCAATCCATGTTGTACAATACGTTAACACATGTGGCCCTGTCACACCTTCCCACGACATTGCGGATTAGCCGCGATCTGTGCCTGGAATAGCTGTAGCAGGATTACATGGATCACGTGACATCTGGTCAGCGGATCTCGACGACTCAACAGCCCTCTGTACTTACAGGAACACTACTCTCATCAAACAGCCCTCCGTACTTACAGGAACACTACCCTCCTCAAACAGCGCGAAATACGGGCTTTATTACATACGTGGTTGTTAGGGGACTCGTTGAACTGAACCCTGGAGTGATGTAATACTTGACAGCAACATACTTGAGAGGAACCTACTAATGGATAATGGTTCTGAGCTTTTCTTGAGCATGAAGTAATTGTTAATGGAACTCTACTTAATGGAAGCTTGTACACACAATCTGATCACATCAAGTAGCTATCAGGAAATGACTTGTTAAAGTACATGCACAGGTCAACCAATACAGATGATATAATTCTTCATTCAGGGATTAGGGGTTGTAACCTACTCCAGCAGGTTGAGGAGATTGTGACAGCAGGGTGACATGTCTGTCAGATACTCCAGCAGGGCGGGTGTCTGTAAGCTACACCAGCAGGGTGAAATGTCTGTCAGATACTCCAGCAGGGTGACATGTCTGTAAGATACTCCAGCAGGGTGACATGTCTGTCAGATACTCCAACAGGGTGACATGTCTGTCAGATACTCCAACAGGGCGGGTGACTGTAAGCTACTCCAGCAGGGTGAGGTGTCTGTAACCTACTCCAACAGGGCGGGTGACTGTAAGCTACTCCAGCAGGGTGACATGTCTGTCAGATACTCCAACAGGGTGACATGTCTGTCAGATACTCCCAACAGGGTGACATGTCTGTCATATACTCAAGCAGGGCGGGTGACTGTAAGCTTCTCCAGCAGGGTGAGGTGTCTGTAACCTACTTCAGCAGGGCGGGTGACTGTAAGCTACTCCAGCAGGGTGACATGTCTGTAACCTACTCCAGCAGTGTGAGGTGTCTGTAACCTACTCCAACAGGGAAGATGTCTGTAACCTACTCCAGCAGGGTGGGGTGTCTGTAACCTACTCCGGTAGGGTTAGGTGTGTGTAACTTACTCCAGCAGGGTGAGGTGTCTGTATCCTACTCCAGCAGGGCGAGGTGTCTGTATCCTAATCCAGCAGGGTGGGGTGTCTGTAACCTACTCCAGCAGGGTAGTGTCTGTAACCTACTTCAGCAGTGTGAGGTGTCTGTAACCTACTCCAGCAGGGTGAGGTGTCTGTAACCTACTCAGGCAGGGTGGGGTGTCTGTAACCTACTCCAGCAGGGTGAGGTGTCTGTAACTTACTCCAGCAGGGTGAGGTGTCTGTAACCTACTCCAGCAGGGTGAGGTGTCTGTAACCTACTCCAGCAGGGTGAGATATCTGTAACCTACTCCAGCTGGGTGAGATGTCTGTAACCTACTCCAGCTGGGTGAGATGTCTGTAACCTACTCCAGCAGGGTGAGGGGTCTGTAACCTACTCCAGCAGGGTGAGATATCTGTAACCTACTCCAGCTGGGTGAGATGTCTGTAACCTATTCCAGTAGGGTGAGGTGTCTGTAACCTACTCCAGCAGGGTGAGGTGTCTAACCTGCTCCAGCAGGGCGAGGTGTCTGTACCCTACTCCAGCAGGGTGGGGTGTCTGTAACCTACTCCAGCAGGGTGGGGTGTCTGTAACCTACTCCAGCAGGGTGGGGTGTCTGTAACCTACTCCAGCAGTGTGAGGTGTCTGTAACCTACTCCAGCAGGGTGAGGTGTCTGTAACCTACTCCAGCAGGGTGGGGTGTCTGTAACCTACTCCAGCAGGGTGAGGTGTCTGTAACCTACTCCAGCAGGGTGAGGTGTCTGTAACCTACTCCAGCAGGGTGGGGTGTCTGTAACCTACTCCAGCAGGATGAGGTGTCTGTAACCTACTCCAGTAGGGTGGGGTGTCTGTAACCTACTCCAGCAGGGCGAGGTGTCTGTAACCTACTCCAGCAGGGTGAGGTGTCTGTAACCTACTCCAGCAGGGTGAGGTGTCTGTAACCTACTCCAGCAGGGTGAGGTGTCTGTAACCTACTCCAGTAGGGTGAGGTGTCTGTAACCTACTCCAGCAGTGTGAGGTGTCTGTAACCTACTCCAGCAGGGTGAGGTGTCTGTAACCTACTCCAGCAGGGTGAGGTGTCTGTAACCTACTCCAGCAGGGCGGGTGTCTGTAACCTACTCCAGCAGGGTGAGGTGTCTGTATCCTACTCCAGCAGGGTGAGGTGTCTGTAACCTACTCCAGCAGGGCGGGTGTCTGTAACCTACTCCAGCAGGGTGAGGTGTCTGTAACCTACTCCAGCAGGGTGGGGTGTCTGTAACCTACTCCAGCAGGGTGAGGTGTCTGTAACCTACTCCAGCAGGGTGAGGTGTCTGTAACCTACTCCAGCAGGGTGAGGTGTCTGTAACCTACTCCAGTAGGGTGAGGTGTCTGTAACCTACTCCAGCAGGGTGAGGTGTCTGTAACCTACTCCAGCAGGGCGGGTGTCTGTAACCTACTCCAGCAGGGTGAGGTGTCTGTAACCTACTCCAGCAGGGTGAGATGTCTGTAACCTACTCCAGCAGGGTGACATGTCTGTCACCTACTCCAGCAGTGTGAGGTGTCTGTAACCTACTCCAGCAGGGCGGGTGTCTGTAACCTACTCCAGCAGGGTGAGGTGTCTGTAACCTACTCCAGCAGGGTGGGGTGTCTGTAACCTACTCCAGCAGGGTGAGGTGTCTGTAACCTACTCCAGCAGGGTGAGGTGTCTGTAACCTACTCCAGCAGGGTGAGGTGTCTGTAACCTACTCCAGTAGGGTGAGGTGTCTGTAACCTACTCCAGCAGGGTGAGGTGTCTGTAACCTACTCCAGTAGGGTGAGGTGTCTGTAACCTACTCCAGCAGTGTGAGGTGTCTGTAACCTACTCCAGCAGGGTGAGGTGTCTGTAACCTACTCCAGCAGGGTGAGGTGTCTGTAACCTACTCCAGCAGGGCGGGTGTCTGTAACCTACTCCAGCAGGGTGAGGTGTCTGTAACCTACTCCAGCAGGGTGAGATGTCTGTAACCTACTCCAGCAGGGTGACATGTCTGTCACCTACTCCAGCAGTGTGAGGTGTCTGTAACCTACTCCAGCAGGGAGAGGTTTGTGTAACCTACTCCAGTAGGGTGAGGTGTCTGTCACCTACTCCAGCAGTGTGAGGTGTCTGTAACCTACTCCAACAGGGAAGATGTCTGTAAGCTACTCCAGCAAGGTGGGGTGTCTGTAACCTACTCCGGTAGGGTGAGGTGTCTGTAACCTACTCCAGCAGGGTGAGGTGTCTGTAACCTACTCCAGCAGGGTGGGGTGTCTGTAACCTACTCCAGCAGGGTGAGGTGTCTGTAACCTACTCCAGCAGGGCGAGGTGTCTGTAACCTACTCCAGCAGGGTGGGGTGTCTGTATCCTACTCCAGCAGGGTGAGGTGTCTGTAACCTACTCCAGCAGGGTGAGGTGTCTGTAACCTACTCCAGCAGGGCGAGGTGTCTGTATCCTACTCCAGCAGGATGGGGTGTCTGTAACCTACTCCAGCAGGATGAGGTGTCTGTAACCTATTCCAGTAGGGTGAGGTGTCTGTAACCTACTCCAGCAGGGTGAGGTGTCTGTAACCTACTCCAGCAGGGTGGGGTGTCTGTAACCTACTCCAGCAGTGTGAGGTGTCTGTAACCTACTCCAGCAGGGAGAGGTGTCTGTAACCTACTCCAGCAGGGTGGGGTGTCTGTAACCTACTCCAGCAGGGTGGGGTGTCTGTAACCTACTCAAGCAGGGTGGGGTGTCTGTATCCCACTGCAGCAGGGTGGGATGTCTGTAACCTACCCTACTCGATTTAACAGGGGTGAAGAGTGATGGCCCAAGTTCCCGAAATGACTCACCTGTTTGTTAAACAACACACACTGAAGATTGCTTTCCGCTGTAATACACACAAGTTATTTGTTGTTTACCTTCTTTCTTTTTTTTTGTTGGCCCGTGTTTCCATCCCCCACCCCAGACAGGCAACCTAAACCACACACAGCAGATGCAGGAGTCCCCAATGGTGGAGTGAGTGAGTGAGTGTGTGAGTGAGTGAGTTGGGTTTAACGCCGCTTTTAACAGTATTCCAGTTATATCACGGCGTGTCAGCTTAATGTGGGAGGAAAGCCCGAAGTGATGCAGGTCTCAGATGTTTACCACTTCGGTGAAACCCACGAGCACGGGTATGGTTCTGACAAACCTAGAAACATAATTGGGTCGAACCGGGATTCAAACCTACAATCATAGGTTTCTGGCGTGCCCAAGGGACGCAACTCTGCACAGCGAATCGCAGCGCCTTAGACGACTGGGCCACCCGTGCCCCCCCCAATGGTGGAGACATGGGTGGGATGTTTGGACAGTTTCCACTTGTGCAATGGCCTGTTTCAAACCTTCGATCATCCCACACACACCAGATCCCAGACTGACTATGGTCCTCAATAACAGTAGGAGGTCAGGACGTTTCAGTGTCAGTGTTTTTACTAACCACTCAACCTCACTATTTATTGTCAGATCCCACAAATATAAATGAAAAAATCAGCAACTTTTTTATCCAACCAAGAATAGATGCAAAAAAACAACAAAGATCACAGCACTATGTGCCTGTCACCAGTTTGACTAAGTTCCTGTTTCAGCCATTTGTTTTAAGTCTGCGATTCAAAGGAGACCCAGAACAACTGTATTTCAGAAGCCTTGAGTTTGTGTCTGGCACAGACAAACCATGACTGTTGTTATTTAAGACATATGACAACAGAATGAGCAGCATGTAGACAATCTAAACATGGACCATCAATATAAACAACAAAGTTTATTGTCAACAAAAATAACAATTACAAACTTAACACACGGGTACTTTCACAGTACAGACATAGAAAATGTTTCTCTAAAGCTGGTGCACCTTACATCAGTGAATTTTGTTTATTATCACGGATCTGTCATTTATTGGTTTAAACATTCATAACAGTTCAAACACTTGTGTCTTCTTGGGACTGAGTTCATTCTGAGGATGCAACATTAGGACATGCTCCTCGTGGATCTGGGTACCGGGGGTTCGAGAGCATTTCCTTCTCAAGATGAAGATGCCAGTTTGATTCTCATCATGGTCACAAGGTGTGAGGTCACCGGTGATACACAACATCCGGTACATTTTGTACCATGTGGTACAGCAGGGGAAGTGAAGTGAGGTTTAACGTCACTTTTAACATTATTGCACTTACCTATGTATGCACGTTCATGCATGCATGCATGTGTGTATCTGTCCGTGTCTGCTTGTACTAGTCTGGATTAATTGCAGTTTTATAGTGCTAGCCCACAGAGATACCATGGCACAGTTTAACATGGATACCCCAGTTGGGACTCCGAGCCTACCAGTCCTTGGTTTATCCACTTAATGCTGAGGCACCTAGCGCGTGTGTGCGTACATGCATCCGTCCGTGTCTGCTTGTACTAGTCTGGATTAATTACAGTTTTATAGTGCTAGCCCACAGAGATACCATGGCACAGTTTAACATGGTTACCTCACTTAGGGCTCTGAGCTGACCAATCCATGGTTTATCCACTTAATGCCGAGCACCTAGCGCGTGTGTGCATGCATCCGTCCGTGTCTACTTGTACTAGGAGATACCATGGCACAGTGTAACATGGATACTCCAGTTGGGACTCCAACCCGACCAGTCCTTGGTTTATCCTCTTAATGCCCAGCACCAGGCGTAACAGCTATCTGTTGGAGTGACAGGGCCTGAGATGGAAGCTCTGGGCAGATGTTCTGTCAACAAGACACGGTGGTGGTCTTGTACAGCAGACCTGGTACAGGGCTACATCTACATCCTCAAACACAGAGTCTGTCGTGGATGTTCTTGTGGAAGCATATGCTGTATAGACTTTACATCCATCTCGTACAGCAGACCTGGTACAGGGCTACATCTACATCCTCAAACACAGAGTCTGTCGTGGATGTTCTTGTGGAAGCATATGCTGTATAGACTTTACATCCATCTCGTACAGCAGACCTGGTACAGGGCTACATCTACATCCTCAAACACAGAGTCTGTCGTGGATGTTCTTGTGGAAGCATATGCTGTATAGACTTTACATCCATCTCGTACAGCAGACCTGGTACAGGGCTACATCTACATCCTCAAACACAGAGTCTGTCGTGGATGTTCTTGTGGAAGCATATGCTGTATAGACTTTACATCCATCTCGTACAGCAGACCTGGTACAGGGCTACATCTACATCCTCAAACACAGAGTCTGTCGTGGATGTTCTTGTGGAAGCATATGCTGTATAGACTTTACATCCATCTCGTACAGCAGACCTGGTACAGGGCTACATCTACATCCTCAAACACAGAGTCTGTCGTGGATGTTCTTGTGGAAGCATATGCTGTATAGACTTTACATCCATCTCGTACAGCAGACCTGGTACAGGGCTACATCTACATCCTCAAACACAGAGTCTGTCGTGGATGTTCTTGTGGAAGCATATGCTGTATAGACTTTACATCCATCTCGTACAGCAGACCTGGTACAGGGCTACATCTACATCCTCAAACATGGAGTCTGTCGTGATGCTCTTGATGAAGCATATGCTGTATAGACTTTACATCCATCTCAAGTGCTGCTCGAGAGCCAAGGTCTCCACTTTCAAGTGCTGTATCCTCATTCTCTGTTAATAGCTTCCTGTAAAACAAGCATTAATGGCAAAACAGGATCAGAATCTAAAAGGTAGTATGGCAACAATATACTTTAATTTATTGTGGATTACTCTGTGAGTGTGTGAGTTGCGTTTAACGCAGCTTCTAACAGCATCCCGGGCTAGATCCTGGCATGTCAGATTAATGATGGAGGTCTCAGACTCTGAGTGAGTGAGTGAGTGAGTCGATCAGTGAGTGAGTGAGTGAGTGAGTGAGGTAGCGATTTAGTGAGTGAGGGAGTGAGTGAATCGGTTCAGTAATATATAACAAGAGACAAGGGTGAGAATCATCCAATATCATTCTCTTTTTCAGTTTGTAAGCTGTAATCCCCTGTGTCTTGAATGCAAAAAGTACAGGTAACCAGCTTCAGTGGCAAAGATAAGTGATGTCATTTGATTGAGTGAGTGAGTGAGTATGGTTTTATGATGCTTTTAGCAATATATCAGAGGAGAGGTAGCATGTTATGATTATCATGCATTTTACCAAATCCAAAATATGACTGCTCGCACAGAACTCCAGAAATAGCAAGTCAACAAATATGATGTGAAGTATGACAGTCAATCCCATTAGTTGTCATTACTGATATTTACTGTCTTGCAACAACAACTGTCTTATGAATTCATGGCTTTTTTTACAGTCCAAATCATAAAAGTCATAAAACATTTACTCAATATTGTCGATAATAATTTTAGGAAATTGTGTGTGAACTGATCAGGCAACTCAATCAATTCCCCACTATTTACAGCAACCATGATCAGATCCGATTAGAAAAATGACACACACTTGAGGAGGGTCATAGCTTTTCCATACTATCTCAGATCAGTGAGTAGGCGTACCACGATTGCAGAAGGCAATATTAATTTCTACAATTAATAAATGAAGTTCCCGCCATGTTTATTCCGCTCAGCCACAGATGTTATCAAGATGAGTCAGTGCTACCATGAGGCGAGTGTATGTATGTCCACTGTGGTGCCATCTACACCAGGTGTGACAGTTGCCGTGACGATATCTACTGCCACACATGTACCTCAATCAATACTTGCAAGTGTTACACATCGAGGCCTGTAATCAAAGTCTCACTTACAAATGGCTGTTGACACAAAATCAGTAACATATTGTAACGGTTGGTTCTATTTGTCTGTTTCATGTAGGACAACAATAGAGGATTAAGAATTGCTATTAGTGTGTGAATAATGAAGGTGATGTCTGTTATATCAGAGTATCAGGGATGACATTTAGGTATTACGTGGCTATACTGGTTTTGTATCTTGTTTTACAGATGAGCTTGTCCTAAAAATCTAAAGTTTCAGTAGATGCATGTAAGAGATCAAATGTGCTGGGGCCTTGATTGGTTTGTTTGTTTGTTGTTTAACGCCGCACTCAGCAATATTCCAGCTATATGACGGCGGTCTCTATATAATCGAGTATGGACCAGACAATCCAGTGATTAATGTCATGAGCATCGATCCACGCCATTGGGATCGATGACATGCATCAACCAAGTCAGCGAGCCTGACCACCCGATCCCGTTAGTTGCCTTTTATGACAAGCATAGTCGCCCTTTACAGCAAGCATGGGTTGCTGAAGACCTATTCTACCCCGGAATCTTCACGGGTCGCTGGGGCCTTGAATAATCTCAGGTAACATTTGTGTTCAACAACACCAAGGACCACAGCTCACACCTGGCAAGCTATTTACACGAAAAAGGAGCAAAATTATTTTTCTTCATTTTCTTTAATCAAGATTATGGTTTCAATTTGACATTGTTTGTTTGTTGTTTGACGCCACACTCAGCAATATGACAATAATCAAGTGTGAACAAGATCCACACCGTTGGGGTATGACGACACACAATCAGCATGTGTGTGTGTGCCTGTGTGCGAGTGTTTGTGTGAGTGTGTACATGCATGCTTACATGTGTATTATTATCTTTGAGTGCCCCACAGGGGCCCCTAAATGTCCCAAATGTCCCATCTCTAGATCATTAACAGGTCAGATGCAACTGAGGCCCAAAGCAAGGCCTAGTGGTAAGTACTGTGACATTGATGATACACCAGCCCAGCCAGGCTGCAGCACGGATACCCACATGACCATTGCTGTCATTGTTAAGTGGAACAATCACATCTGCACCAGTCTGCACTGCACTATAACCTGTGAAGATCTGGGTTAAAATAGGTCTTCAGCAACCTTGCTTGTCGTAAAGGCAACAATGTTTGTTGTAAGAGGCGACAAATGGGATTGAGAGGTCAGGCTCACTGACTTGGTTGCTGCATGACGCTGTGTCCCAATTGCGTAGATCGATGCTCATGAAGTCAATCACTGATTGTCTGGTCCAGATTCGATTATTTATATGACTCCATCATATAGGTGGAATATTACTGAGTGTGGCGTTAAACAACAAACAAACACAGCACTAGAGGCTGCTCAATACTTGGTGAGTCAAATCCCAGTGGCTGCCATGAAATCAGTCTGTTGGACCAGGGCTCATCGGGTGGCTGTTGGATACTACAAGGGAGTCTGTCAGTGTTTGGTTTAATTACCTGAGTTGTGATTGTTTCTTGTCAAGCTCCCTCTGCAGGTGGCTGTCGTCAGAGAGTTGCCCCACCTCCCTGTGATGCAGCCACGCCCGGCAGGATTCCTCCTCCCTCCCTGACTGGTGGAGAGCTGTGCAGCAGGTGTACCATGCCCTTGTGTCTCCTGCAACAACACAGTGGATACGGTGGTGGTGACAGTTAGGGTGGGGACAGTAGGGGTGGGGACAGTACCTACAGTACCGGGTGTGTCTGGTGTGGTGTGGGGGTGGGGCCTCCCTCCCTGACTGGTGGAGAGCTGTGCAGCAGGTGTACCATGCCCTTGTGTCTCCTGCAACAACACAGTGGATACGGTGGAGGTGACAGTTGGGCTTGGGATACCGTTTGTGTCTGGTGTGGTGGTGTGTGGTGTGGTGTGGTGTGGTGTGGTGTGGTGTGGTGTGGTGTGGTGTGGTGTGTGTGTCTGGGGGGGTTGGAAGACAATAAAATAATAGGAATTGCACCAAGGTCTGTCAGTGGCTTCTGCACCTGGGTGTGTCTGGTGGGGGGGAAAGAGATAGTGGCTGCTACCTGGGAGAGTCTGTACGGCTATCCTGGAGTAGTGAAGGGCATCTGATGTCTTCCCCTGGTCAGTCAGGAGGCTGGAGAATTTGCAACATGCCTGAACCAGGAGGGATTTCCACCCAGGGCAGGAACTGGTTTCTGAAATAAAACCAACCACATTTCAGGCAGGAGTGCTACAACCACAGACACCCATGAGAAATCTGGGTAATAAATAGGTCCCCAGCTGGAATATTGCTGTGTTAAACAACAAACAAACAACAAACAAACAAACAAACACAATGACCAAGTTACAACACAGAGTTTGTCAGAGATCCAGCATCTATTTCTCAACTAACAGTTAGGGACTATTCATAATATCATTTATAAATGGGAAGCATTAATTTACTATTTTACCTGACACATTGAGACATGTTTGCCAGGGAAAATGAAAAAAATATGAATATTCCACAATATCAAAATGCTCCAGGACTTTCATGATGAGCATACAAAGTCCAACTTGTTGCCTTGGGAACGCACATAAATGTTGGGGAAAGGAATAAACAGGTGTCTAGATGAAATATTTTGTCAAGATTATGAAAAGAGGCCATGCTGATCTTTCACTACAATGTCTTCATAATATTATACAGGTGTGATAAATAGAGATTATTGTACGGGTTTTACTGATTTTACAAAATGAGTGTCAGAATTCTTGTATTTACCAAGAAAGGGTGAGGGTTAAACATGAATTCTTACACTAGTTTCGTAAAATCAGTATGACACACACACAAGTGTAATAATTTCTTTATTATCCATTATTTCTTAATCCTTCAAAGCTCCCCTTTAAAACAATGCACCGATCACAACTGCCGTACTGAAAAACCACAGTTATCGAATGACGTCAACAATCTTCAGCTATGATGTTTTCTAGTGTGATGTCATTCCGACCTTACGTCACAATAAGATTCAAATGACGTCGACAATGCCGTCCGGATGACGCACACATCGGTGTCAGTAAAGTGATGTTTGCGCTCGTGCAGATACAATGTTTATGAACATGGTTGTCTCTAACCCTATGGTAATTACATGTTTTATATAAACTGCGTGGATCGATGCTCATGATGTCAATCACTGGATTGTCTGGTCCAGACTCAATTATTTTACAGACCGCCGTCATATAGCTGGACTATTGCTGAGTGCGGCGTTAAACAAACAAACATGTTTTATATTGTCTAAAAGTAAACATCACACCACGACCAGGATTGAAGAATCACAGAATGACAAACAGAAAAACACTTCCACGCACTGAGGGAGGTCGGGTAGCCTAGCGGTTAAAGCGTTTGCTCGTCACGCCGAAGACCCGGGTTCGATTCCCGACATGGGTACAATGTGTGAAGCCCATTTCTGGTGTCCCCTGCCGTGATATTGCTGGAATATTTCTAAAAGCGGCGTAAAACCATACTCACTCACTCACTCCAACCACTAGGAAACAAGGTCACCTGTATTGTGATGACGTGGCCAATATATTGCCTAGTTGACACTACTCCAATACACTGCAGTTTAATACCTCCTCAGAAATATTTCTTTCTAACGCAATTTCAATACATCCTTGACATAGAATACCTTTGGAGACTTATTAAATGCTCATCTTTGTATGTATGATAAAACATACACCTACTGAGATCTATTCCTTCGAATAAATTCTGTTTTACTGGTACACTATAGAAAGCACACAAGGAGTGTCTCATTCACACTTGAACACACAGCTCGCTCAAGGGTGTAACAGCATTGAAAACTCACTCTAGCGAATCAGATAACACCGATTTTCTATACAACAAATAGCATTTACATCTACCACATGTATGTAAAAGTATGCAGAGTATTCAATTGAGAAAAAGGTTAACTGACTACAAGCTGACTTATTCAAGTCCGTCCCCCTCTGACCTGATTGAGCTGAGTGGGACAGTGTGCAGCCCTTCACAGTGCATTCACTCTACCCAGGCTGAGGATTGGTGAATGATAATAGGCGATGTCTGCAGTGTTGGCGTGTGCGATGTTGCGCCGCTGTCAGTGGCGGTGTGGCTGTAAGAGTCTGCAGTGAGTGGGTGATACAGGTGTAACACAGGTGTAAATCTGGTTTAATCGTTAGCAAATGTATAAAGGAAGTCGGACAATCCCTAGTGCTGAGATCAGTGCAGGACGCACGCAGTCTGTGATGGGCAGGAGTGAGTTGGCGGTACAAAACATCCCAGCGGATTCAGAACATGGAAGTTTTTGGCTGTCAAGGAAGTAACAAGGACTTCTGAATATGAAAGTTTCAAATATGAGTTTATAGAAAGAGCATGAGTGTTTTATGAAATTGATGAAAATATTTTTTGGATGATATCTCTGAGGAACTATTTTTTTGGACACTATAGTTATATTTTATTGTGATTTGCCAAGGAATATCAGTAAAATGTATATTTGACACAGTATTTTAATGATTAATCAAATTTTTTGGAATATCAGTATATTTGGATTATTTTTTGTGATTTATATACATCAACAAATTCAACAGAAAAAGATCTTCTCCGTGGTCTAGTGGTAGAGCGCCTTCCCAGAGAGCGAAGGTAGGGATCGATCCCTGGCAGCATCGCACCAAAAGATGCTAAAAGATGGTACTTGTTGTTACCCTGCCTAGTAATCAGCATTAAGGGGCCAAAACAAGGACTGGTTGGCTCGGGATCGGCACTGTTTATTGAGCAGCACTTGTTACAAGTATATAATAAACAATGTCATTCAAACACTAATTACATCCTGTGAATTGTCACTGCTGGGGTCAAGACAAGAGTTCTACACACTTATGTCATCACTGATCCAGACAGACGCCACCCACGCAACACGGTGTCTTTGTTCTTTGCGACTGTGTCAAAGGCCGACACGATCCATTGCGCATGTATTGTTTTAGTGGAAGTACTAAGCGCTAATTAGGGTGAGGATTCTCCTGTAAACCGGACAGAGGACATCTTCTTTATATATAAGTCCACTGATGCTTGAGAGGAGGGGGGTGTCGCATTTTGGGCTAGGGGCCAGCTATCGCATTCTTTTGGAGACTCATTAATTTCACGATTTACAGTACATGAGCCCTATTAGACACTCTTTCATTCATCAGCGTCAAGTCTGCAGCAACATTCCTCCCTGATGAGGATGAAGGGCTGAATCCAAGCAACCCAAGCATTCGATTACCCATCCCAATTAAAACAACCCTGTTTGCTCGTTTCAGACAGTCACCCACAATGTCCGTAAAAACACCCATTCGTTCACCAAAATAAACCAAAACACTAACAGTTTTTTTTTCTTCACAGAACGGGTTGAGAGCATGTTTGAACAATTATGTAAACCCAAGAGATAGCGATTTGTGGAATACCTGAAGAACTTAGTCCTGATGCAAACAAAAGCCACCCGATTAAAGTGAGCAATCACCTACTTAAACCCACCCACCCACTAAGGGTTCGGCATATACACACATTTTCAAGTAGTACCTGTTTTAATTAAAACCTCCTCATCATTTACCGTTCTCCGGCGTTTGGGGACAGGTTCGGAGGTCGTCGGGATATCAGCTTCCGAAACCTCCGACCATCGTCCACTGCATTCCAGAAGTGCTTCAATGGCCCTGACAGATGAAAGCATGTTTATTTAGAAAAAGGCGTTAAGTCTTGAACGTACAGTCTCTTGGCTTTGTCCTTTCGCTCTCTACTGAAGTAGATGTTTGCCGACATGGCCGTTCTTTACTACTAAATTTACGGTCAAGTTTGCAATTCCCGACCCTCTTACCCTGTATCGAATGATTGGTGCAGAACCATGGACAACACATTTCACGCTAGGTTACCACTAAACAACACCGTGCAGGGAATAGCCTCCGTAATTATTAAATACACCTAGACGCAGAGAAACAAGCATTTCAAAGTTAACACTGAGATTTGACTGTAAACAACAACTGCATGGAATATCAGAGTGGCACAAGCTTGAAGGGCCAAGGCAAGGGACTGCACAGCAGATTAGTCAAATTACACAAACAATGCTTAAAACAACCACAGTGGCTACATTTCTAACAATGTCAGCATTACTGACTAAGGTCTAGACTGCTATCTGCGGTTCTCACATGCCATTCTCTTTGGCAGGTTTGTAGCATTGTTGCAAGTGTGTACAAATAAAAAAAGGTCAATATTACGCTATTTGTAGGAAATCATTGTCTAAATATGACAAAAAATGCAAAGTGCTCCAAGGCAAATTTTCTTTCCAAATATGGAAGTATGGGACACAGTTTTAACCCAGTTTGTAAGAACAGCAAATAGTTTAATCCATGGAATTTGTTGAAATAAGGTTAACAGTCCTGAAATCTGTATTTTTTACCTGTGTAATGAATCTGATGCATTGTCGTGGTCATTCAAGGCAATCAAAGCGTCTGCTTTACACAATGTCAAGGTCATATGATGTTGAACATCTTGCCAGTCATCTTCATTCTGATTGGCCAGAGAGAGGTCACAGGAGGAAGATCTTGGCCTCTTTCTGGAGTTGGTGCTAATGGTTTGTGAGAGATCTTCACTGTCGTCTGGACCAAGGAGACTGCTGATATTGTCTGCTCCAAATGAGGTAGCAGACGGGTTGAGGGTCAGACGGATAGACTCTAGGGCCTTGTCACAGACAATGACACAGTCTTCATAGTGGCCAGCATGGAGGAGGCATTCTACAGTTTCCTTGTAGATTGTTCTGATATGTGGTAGATCTACCACACGGGTAGAAACATCGTCTATCTGAAACAAGATGCATGAGTGAGAGTATATATTTGTACTGCAGTAACTCAGTTTGTTTGTTGTTTTGTGCTGCAGTCAACAATATTCCAACTATGTTACAGTGGCCAGTAAACAATCAAGTCAAACAGACAAACAATTGATTGATGTTGTGAGCAAGGACTTATATGCTCAGGGCATGATAACATACAACCAGGTCACCGAGTCTGACCACCATATCCACTTTAGTCAATTCTCACAAGCAATAGAGTGTCCGGGACCAATCCTAACCCATGTCCCGAGAAGCAATAGAGTGTCTGTGACCCATTCTTGCCCCTGTCCTGACAAGCAATAGAGTGTCTGGGACCTATCCTAACACGTGTCCCAACAAGCAATAGAGTGTCCAGGACCTATCCTAACACGTGTCCTGACAAGCAATAGAGTGTCCAGGACCTATCCTAACACGTGTCCTGACAAGCAATAGAGTGTCTGGGACCTATCCTAACACATGTCCTGACAAGCAATAGAGTGTCTGGGACCTATCCTAACCCGTGTCCCACCAAGCAATAGAGTCTCTGGGACCTATCCTAACCTGTGTCCTGGCAAGCAATAGAGTGTCTGGGACCTATCCTAACACATGTCCTGACAAGCAATAGAGTGTCTAGGACCTATCCTAACACGTGTCCTGACAAGCAATAGAGTGTCTTGGACCTATCCTAACCTGTGTCCTGGCCAGCAATAGAGTGTCTGGGACCTATCCTAACATGTGTCCTGACAAGCAATAGAGTGTCTAGGACCTATCCTAATCCGTGTCCTGACAAGCAATAGAGTGTCTGGGGCCTATCCTAACACGTGTCCTGACAAGCAATAGAGCGTCTGGGACCTACCTAACCTGTGTCCTGGCAAGCAATAGAGTGTCTGGGACCTATCCTAACACGTGTCCTGACAAGCAATAGAGTGTCTGGGACCTATCCTAACACGTGTCCTGACAAGCAATAGAGTGTCTGGGACCTATCCTAACCTGTGTCCTGGCAAGCAATAGAGTGTCTGGGACCTATCCTAACACGTGTCCTGACAAGCAATAGAGTGTCTAGGACCTATCCTAATCCGTGTCCTGACAAGCAATAGAGTGTCTGGGGCCTATCCTAACCCGTGTCCTGACAAGCAATAGAGCATCTGGGACCTACCTAACCTGTGTCCTGACAAGCAATAGAGTGTCTGGGACCTTTCCTAACACGTGTCCTGACAAGGAATAGAGTGTCTGGGACCTATCCTTGCCTGTGTCCCGACAAGCAATGAGTGTCCGGGACCTACCTAACCTGTGTCCTGACAAGCAATAGAGTGTCTCGGACCTACCTAACCTGTGTCCTGACAAGCAATAGAGTGTCTGGGACCTTTCCTAACACGTGTCCTGACAAGCAATAGAGTGTCTGGGACCTATCCTTGCCTGTGTCCCGACAAGCAATAGAGTGTCCGGGACCTACCTAACACGTGTCCTGACAAAGCGATAGAGCGTCTGGGACCTATCCTGACCCGTGTCCTGACAAGCAATAGAGTGTCTAGGACCTATCCTAACCTGTGTCCTGACAAGCAATAGAGTGTCCGGGACCTACCTAACCAGTGTCCTGACAAGCAATAGAGTGTCTAGGACCTATCCTGATCCGTGTCCCGACAAGCAATAGAGTGTCTGGGACCTATCCTGACCCGTGTCCTGACAAGCAATAGAGTGTCCGGGACCTATCCTAACCAGTGTCCTGACAAGCAATAGAGTGTCTAGGACCTATCCTAACCAGTGTCCTGACAAGCAATAGAGCGTCTGGGACCTACCTAACCCGTGTCCTGACAAGCAATAGAGTGTCCGGGACCTATCCTTGCCCGTGTCCTGACAAGCGATAGAGTGTCTGGGACCTATCCTAACACGTGTCCTGACAAGCAATAGAGTGTCTGGGACCTGTCCTTGCCCGTGTCCCGACAAGCAATAGAGTGTCTGGGACCTATCCTAACACATGTCCTGACAAGCAATAGAGTGTCTGGGACCTATCCTAACACGTGTCCTGACAAGCAATAGAGTGTCTGGGACCTATCCTAACACGTGTCCTGACAAGCAATAGAGTGTCTGGGACCTATCCTAACACGTGTCCTGACAAGCAATAGAGTGTCTGGGACCTATCCTAACACGTGTCCTGACAAGCAATAGAGTGTCTGGGACCTGTCCTTGCCCGTGTCCCGACAAGCAATAGAGTGTCTGGGACCTATCCTAACCCGTGTCCTGACAAGCAATAGAGTGTCTGGGACCTATCCTAACACGTGTCCTGGCAAGCAATAGAGTGTCTGGGACCTATCCTAACACGTGTCCTGACAAGCAATAGAGTGTCTAGGACCTATCCTAACCCGTGTCCCGACAAGCAATAGAGTGTCCGGGACCTATCCTGACCCGTGTCCTGACAAGCAATAGAGTGTCCAGGACCTATCCTAACCCGTGTCCTGACAAGCGATAGAGTGTCTGGGACCTATTCTAACCCGTGTCCTGACAAGCAATAGAGTGTCCGGGACCTATCCTTGCCCGTGTCCTAACAAGCAATAGAGTGTCTGGGACCTTTCCTAACACGTGTCCTGACAAGCAATAGAGTGTCCAGGACCTATCCTGACCCGTGTCCTGACAAGAAATAGAGTGTCCGGGACCTATCCTTGTCCGTGTCCTAACAAGCAATAGAGCGTCTGGGACCTATCCTAACCAGTGTCCTGACAAGCAATAGAGAGTCTGGGACCTATCCTAACCCGTGTCCTGACAAGCAATAGAGTGTCTGGGACCTATCCTGGTGCGTGAATGATACCAAACAGCCAGGCCACAACTGAAGGTCAGTCTTCAAGGTCATCAGCTGTACCCTAATCAATATAATTAATGCCCAAGACATTTAACAAAGTCAGGAGCAAAGGGATGCACATAGGAGCACTTATTAATTTTTCTCATCTTTAAATTGAAGCCGTGATTAGGAGATGGGTGATCATTACTTAGTTCCTTTAATCTTTAAGGAAAAGGTCCAGAAGTCGACAGTACGCAATCCAAATTCTTTTAAATCGAATAAGTTTCAATCAGCCAATCAGTTTTTTAAATGTCAATGACATGTCTTCCTTGAGGCATTTTACAAAATAAAAACAGATTTTCTAAAATTGACTGTGATTGAGATGTTGATAGCACATACCTAGATTAAGGGAATAATCCCAAGAGAATTTGTGAGTTTATTTTTTAGGCTTCCTTAATTATTTTCCCAATTGCAGGTCAGATTAATTTTTGTTGTTTTATACACCTGGAACAATACAGTTTTATATGAAATGCTAATTTCTTAAAATCATATCCTGTATTTACTTTCTGAGGAAATACATTTGCTTTTGTTGACAGAGTGCCAACCAAAATCAATCATGTAATGAGATGGCAATATCCAGGGCAACATTTTTGTGACTTCAGTTAATCTCTCTGCTTCTTCGCATTGTATTACAAGACCAAGTCTTTGCCCCCCTCTGATTTTCCCCTAACACTTACAATATTTTGCGTGTGACACAGTGCATGCAAGAACCAAAAGAAACAAACATTTGACAGCTTGTTTCATCTAATCAGAATAACATGTTTAACGATTTATTTACTTTGGATTACAAACAACATGAAATGACAAAATCAATGCACAATTATTTCCCTCATATTTTTTAAATACTGAATTTAAACAGCAACAAAAGAATGTATTTGATTCAAGTTTGTCTGTATGATTTTACACTACAGTAGTGTCCTTTATTTCTAATCCTGGTAAGGAGGGGTGTTCAAGATAATCTGACAGTACTGTTGAAAGCTTTAGCCGACTCCAGCTTTGTGGGGGGTCGTGATTGCATTGCCTCACCACTGATATATCAGGGGAAGGTCGATAGAGATCCTGCTGACTTAGATAACTACAACACGGAGTTCACATGAATGAATGCTTTGCAAACCCATATAAATGACTTGGAGGATTTCATACATATGTATTGTTGTATATGCTGATGGTTAAAAATACGGTAATAGAGATCTTACAAAAGAAAGTTTACCGCTGCTTACAAATAGTGAGTAAGTGAGTGAGTGTTGTTTTATGCAGATGTCACCAATATACCTTGGACCAATCCACCAACGTGGTTGTGATCCATCAACTTTGCCAGACCTCAGCCATTAAGTGGCTGTGATCAGCCTCGTCCAGATCTCCACCATCCAGTGGCTGTGATCAGCCAGGTCCTCCACCACCAAGTGGCTGTGATCAGCCAGGTTCTCCACCACCAAGTGGCTGTGATCAGCCAGGTCCAGGTCTCCACCACCAAGTGGCTGTGATCAGTCAGGTCCAGGTCTCCACCACCAAGTGGCTGTGATCAGCCTGGTCCTCCACCACCAAGTGGCTGTGATCAGCCTGGTCCTCCACCACCAAGTGGCTGTGATCAGCCAGGTCCAGATCTCCACCACCAAGTGGCTGTGATCAGCCAGGTTCTCCACCACCAAGTGGCTGTGATCAGCCAGGTCCAGGTCTCCACCACCAAGTGGCTGTGATCAGCCAGGTCCAGGTCTCCACCACCAAGTGGCTGTGATCAGCCTGGTCCTCCACCACCAAGTGGCTGTGATCAGCCAGGTCTCCACCACCAAGTGGCTGTGATCATCCAGGTCTTCACCACCAAGTGGCTGTGATCATCCAGGTCTCCACCACCAAGTGGCTGTGATCATCCAGGTCTCCACCACCAAGTGGCTGTGATCAGCCAGGTCCAGATCTCCACCACCAAGTGGCTGTGATCATCCAGGTCCTCCACCACCAAGTGGCTGTGATCAGCCAGGTCCAGATCTCCACCACCAAGTGGCTGTGATCATCCAGGTCCTCCACCACCAAGTGGCTGTGATCAGCCAGGTCTCCACCACCAAGTGGCTGTGATCATCCAGGTCCTCCACCACCAAGTGGCTGTGATCAGCCAGGTCTCCACCACCAAGTGGCTGTGATCAGCCAGGTCCTCCACCACCAAGTGGCTGTGATCAGCCAGGTCCTCCACCACCAAGTGGCTGTGATCATCCAGGTCCTCCACCACCAAGTGGCTGTGATCAGCCAGGTCCAGGTCTCCACCACCAAGTGGCTGTGATCATCCAGGTCCTCCACCACCAAGTGGCTGTGATCATCCAGGTCTCCACCACCAAGTGGCTGTGATCAGCCAGGTCTCCACCACCAAGTGGCTGTGATCAGCCTGGTCCAGGTCCTCCACCACCAAGTGGCTGTGATCAGTCAGGTCCAGGTCCTCCACCACCAAGTGGCTGTGATCATCCAGGTCCTCCACCACCAAGTGGCTGTGATCAGCCTGGTCCAGGTCCTCCACCACCAAGTGGCTGTGATCAGTCAGGTCCAGGTCCTCCACCACCAAGTGGCTGTGATCATCCAGGTCCTCCACCACCAAGTGGCTGTGATCAGCCTGGTCCAGGTCCTCCACCACCAAGTGGCTGTGATCAGTCAGGTCCAGGTCCTCCACCACCAAGTGGCTGTGATCAGCCAAGTCAAGATATCCCCACATCCAATACAAAGCTAGGATAAACAACACACTCTCAGTGTTTATTCTGTTAGAAAAACTCTACTAATCTGGAACGTGGTGGGGACTTGCGAGGATTACCAACTTAGCGATAGTTAGATTATCTTGTCTGAGGACCTCGGAGTTCCTGATCTCATTACATTGCCTAAGTGTAGAGGCATGAAGCTGGCTGGGTTTTCAATTAAAGGCCAGCTCTTGGGTCCTGGACACTTCCACTAGTGGGTAAGTGGAAAAGTAGGCATTTGTCCTGGTTGTTAACAGCGTGCATTTCTATTTTCAGTAGCATTATAAACATGAATACATATAACTAAGGATGAATATGCCGAAACTTTATATTGATGTATTATTCTTTACAAAAATACACCAAAACAACTAAACTCTAACAAATCAGTTCTTTCTTTTCTCCTTATATAAGTACACTTCATTATTAAACAAGAAAGATGTGCTATGTGTTCTGACAAGTTGAATCATCACCCTTGTTCTACAACACATATCACAAATATCACATCAAGGCCAGGTTTGCATGGTTTTTGTTCAAAGAGGCAAAATAATGAAAATAGAACATATTGTCAGGGTCAACTGTGTGTAGGTGTTCCCATGTGTGCAGGTGTTCACCTGTGTGTAGGTGTTCACCTGTGTAGGGTGTTCACATGTGTGTTGGTGTTCACCCATGTGTGTAGCTGTTCATCCATGTGTGTAGCTGTTCACCCATGTGGGTAGGTGTTCACCTGTGTGGGGGTGTTCACCTGTGTGTAGCTGTTCATCCATGTGTGTAGCTGTTCACCCATGTGTGTAGGTGTTCACCTGTCCGTGAGTGTTCACCTGTGTGTAGGTGTTTCCATGTGTGTAGGTGTTCACCTGTAGAGGGATGTTCACCTGTGTAGGGTGTTCACATTTGTGTTGGTGTTCATCCATGTGTGTAGCTGTTCATCCATGTGTGTAGGCGTTCACCTGTGTGGGGGTGTTCACCTGTGTAGCTGTTCCTCCATGTGTGTAGCTGTTCCTCCATGTGTGTAGCTGTTCACCCATGTGTGTAGGCGTTCACCTGTGTGTGGGTGTTCACCTGTATAGGTGTTCACATGTGTATATATACATTTTCACCTGTGTGTGGGAGGGTTCACCTGTGCATGTGGGTGTTCACCTGTGCATGTGTGTGTGTTCACCTATGTTCTTACCTGTGCATGTGGGTGTTCACCTGGGCGTGTGCGTGTGTTCACCTATGTTCTTACCTGTGCATGTGGGTGTTCACCTGGGCGTGTGCGTGTGTTCACCTATGTTCTTACCTGTGCATGTGGGTGTTCACCTGGGCGTGTGCGTGTGTTCACCTATGTTCTTACCTGTGCATGATGGTGTTCACCTGTGCGTGTGTTCACCTATGTTCTTACCTGTGCATGTGGGTGTTCACCTGTGCATGTGGGTGTGTTCACCTATGTTCTTACCTGTGTCAGGTGGGAAGCTTCAGACAGAGCAGCCAACAAGTCCAGGTACCTCTGGGAACCGTCTTCATACCTGTGTAGAAAAACAAATGGGCAACACTGTGCTGGGAAGTATGAAACAATAAAGCCTGTGGTGCTGTGGGCCATCACTCTCAGCGGAATACAATGAATACCTCTGAACTGAATAACGGGATAAAGTGCTCCCACCCCTGAGCAGCAGTCATACCAGAGGAGCTGAGACTCTGAGGTGGAACATGTGGACACTCAGCAATATCACAGTAATGGATGGATACCTGGCAGTTCTCCCCTGTCTCAGCCAGGCAATCCAGTGGTTGATACTAATTTGTTTCTTGTTTTGTTTGTTGTTTAATGCCACACAATAATCCAGCTATATGGTGGAGGTCTGTAAATAATCGAGTCTGGGCAGACAATTTAGTGATTGATATCATGAGCATTGATCCACGCAATTGGGATACGATGGCACGTATCAAATAAATCAGTGAGTCTGACCACCCAATCCCGTGTGTCGTGACAAGCATAGGTTGCTGAAGACCAAGTCTAGCCCTGATCTTCACAGGTATGATACTAATGATTATAAGCGAGTGGGTTGTGTTTAACGCAGCTTATAACAGCATCCCATGCCAGGTCATGGCAAGTCAGATTAATATTGGAGGAAAGCCCGAGGTGATGCAGGTCTCAGACATTTACTGAGTGAGTGAGTGAGTGAGTGAGTGAGTGAGTGAGTGAGTGAGTGAGTGAGTGAGTGAGTGAGTGAGTGAGTGAGTGAGTGAGTGAGTGAGTGAGTGGGGTTTAGTGCTACTGTAGTATCAGTATTTCATCACAACCTGTTTGTTTAATGTGAAAAGAAATCCTCAAGTCAAGCTGGACATGATCCCTTTCATGAAACCCATGACAATGGTCATCATGCTGTCAAAGAATCATAATAAGGGTGAACCCTGGATTCAAACCTATGGTCATAGGATGCTGGCACACCAAAGGGAGGCAACACTGTACAAACTGCAACATCTTTAAGACAGGGCCCACACCCCGACATTAAGATGTCACTACCGACTTCCCAGGGCATGCTTACGGGCAGATTTTTTTGTAACCTTGGTAGGCTCAACTTGGATATCACATAGATTTAAAACTCGTACATAAACATATTTCCTGTCCTTAATTAAGTCTTTTGACATGTTGACAGTGTTACAGCATAATCAATTTTCCAAACGAGTCAACATATCAATAAAGTGCACCAGCCCTCATTCCAGAAATAGTCCCACAGACCTTGTGCAACACATTCATGACAGCGAGCACAGGAATGTCATCTGATGGATTCGCAATGATTCAAAGTAAGTGTGACACTGATGGGATCATAGTGACAACTTGGAAAGAATGCTGACATATTTATTACTCATCACTCAACGCTACAGCCCACGATGAATAGAGTGAGTGAGTGAGTGAGAGTGCGTGGGAGTGTTATGGTGTATTAACTTTTGGTTTGGTTGGTTGGTTTGCCGCACTCAGCAATATTCCAGCTATATGGCGGAGGTCTGTAAATAATCGAGTCTGGACCAGACAATCCAGTGATTGACATCATGAGCATCGATCCACGCAATTGGGATACAATGACATGCATCAAATAAATCAGCGAGTCTGACCACCCGATCCTGTTAGTCGCCTCTTATGACAAGCATAGTCGCCTTTTACAGCAAGAATGGGTTGCTGAAGCCCTATTCTACCCCGGATGTTCACGGGATGTACTGCTAGGTATTGGTTGTGGGGTATTGTGACAAACATAGGTTGCTGAAGTCTAGTCCTGATCTTCAGAGGTATGGTTGATACTAACGATTATAAGTGAGTGACCACCCGAACCCTGTTAGTCACCTCTTTAGACAAGCATAGTCGCCTTTTACAGCAAGCATGGGTTGCTGAAGACCTATTCTACCCTGGATCTTCACGAGGTATATTTACTATAATAGGCCCTGAGTTTCTGGTGACTTTTTAAGTGCACGTTGCATGGACCTATTAAACATACAAGTCCTGTTTTCAATCACTGAACGCACACCTTTGGATCTTACTCTTATCATCATGCACAACTCATGCTCCTGCAACCAAAAAACCCAAGGGAGTATCATCCGCTTGGGAACCTCACCATTTAGCACACACTAGTGCCATACCCTCTAACTCGGGGGGGCATCCAATAACACAGAAATGATCTGAAAGGACATCAGCCAATGAAGAACACTTTTGTATTCAGTGTGGGATGATTAAGTGAGTGAGTGAGTGAGTATGTTTTTACGCCGCTTTTAGCAATATTCCAGCAATATCACGGCGAAGGACACCAGAAATGGGCTTCACACATTGTACCCATGTCAGGAATCGAACCCGGGTCTTCGGCGTGATGAGCGAATGCTTTAACCACTAGGCTACCCGATCGCCCCGGGATGATTAAGTAATAAATAGATACAGGTAGTACCCCTCATGCTTTGTAAGGAAAGGACAACATAACGTCATGAATTTGCATTACGTCATTATCATCTGGAGTAATATTATGAGAACATTCAGTTATGATAATGTCAACAATATTTATGCTGGTTAAGGGACTGAGAAGATCTGAAAGCTAAAATTGATAGAATTATCATAAAAATGACTGTCAGAAATGTTAGCAGAAATCTGCGGGCCAGTTTAACTTGATAGCAGCTCGCTTTTCCCTAATGTAGGGCTGTTATGTATTCTATTCTATGTGACGTCATTAGCGTCACGTTTCTTGTTTGTGACGTCATCCTATATTATGTCCCATGTCGATGCTATTTGTAAATCAATGTCCTCCATTGTGAGCATTTTTTCATTATAAGTTTATTTAATAAAGTCCCAAACATGGTTTCATTAAAAATTAATGTCTTTGCACGTCACAATTAATGATATAAAAAAAATCAGTGTTGAATAACAAATTTCTGTACCAGAATTTTCATGTGAAATATGTGAAGTGGGTGTTGGAAAATCCATAATGGATGTTACTGACAGTACATGATCTCATATTAGGTCAGTAACAACGATCCTAAGGGCTAAGTATATACCTGAATATTACAATATCAATCCCAATTTCTTTAAATTCACATTTCTGTTAAACAACTCTAAATACTTACTTTTACAAAATTTATCTACGAGGGGCGTTCAAAAGGTTTGGCAACTTCAATATAAGACCAAGTCGCAGAATATCTTTTGCACTTTTATTAATCAATATAATCTCCCTTCACCTCAATACACTTATTCCATTTGTCCTTCAAGCTATTAATACCACTTTTATAGAAATCTGCAGATTGGCCCTCTAACCACGCCTCTGTGGCAGCCTTTATGTCCTTGTCATCCTGGAAGCATCTTCCACGTAGGGCAGATTTCATCTATGTACATTTATCATGCAATGAGACACAGGAATAATATTATGTTATAGACTCTACTGCTCTGAATGTACACATCATAAATGTACTATAGGCCTTTGGCTTCCTCAGTACGGAAATAAAGAAATCGAATAGGAACAACCATCTTAGTTTATTATTGACGGTAAACGGTCTCATATGGGGTTAGTAGTTCTGCTCTCTGATTGGTCGATCTCACTTTGAGGCATAATAGATTACAGTATCCCATCACTCAGAAATGATTTACCTATCCATACCTGTCCTGTTCTTATTCTGTATATTTTAGTAGCAAATCCTTTTAAGCCCTTAAAACCAAATACTATTAAAACTTGACATACTGTGCGTGCAGGAGACAATAATCTACTGTCTGTGCCAGCTTTTAAAAAGTGAAGTGAGTATGGTTTTACGCCACTTTTAGCAATATTCCAGCAATATCACGGCGGGGGACACCAGAAATGGGCTTCACACATTGTACCCATGTCGGGAATCGAACCCGGGTCTTCGGCATGACGAGCGAACGCTTTAACCACTAGGCTACCCGACCGCCCCTTTTCAAAAGCAGTACTTGCTTCACTGCACAAAGTTGCTAGTCGGAGATTCATACACATCAGCATGTTAGTCATCCAATCCGTATTTATGACAACACTCCATCACTTGAAGCTGGGGAAACAGGTAGACATGTATCTAATGGGACCTCACCAGCCAGTGTAGCTAGTACGGGTATGGACAGATTAGTGTTGGGAATTGGGCTCAACTATCTAGATTGATGATTGGCCTTAAAAAGCAATTGATAATCAATTAATGATTGATCATCAAGAGGAAACGAAAAATCTTACATTAAAAATAATTCTGAGTATCAATTATGTATACTACTCAAAAGAAGTTAAAGAACACGCAATTCTTTCATGGCAAACAGACAGACAGACAGACAGACAGACACATATTTCACATATGTAGCCATGAGGCCAATAGTACAATGATATTTTGTGGTAGGAAAATTTGGTGTTAATTTGTAATGTCATGCCATGACAGATTAACTGTATTATATATGAAAGAATCGGGTGTTCTTTAACTTCTTTTGAGTGGTATAAACAGCTTAATTTCACTTGAAAGATTATCATATTCAGCAACATCCATAGAAACCCTGTCTGTTTTCTAGGAATTCACTAATACTCTAAGGTTCCCCTTCCCTAAAGTGAGCTCAAATCTATGGAAAATAATTCAGGATGATCAGGGAGATTCAGTGACACCAACCAATCCATGGGAGTGTACAGTCAAGTCTCGTTAATCCGACACTCGTTAATCCGACAATCGGCTTTATCCGACACTAATGATGGGAACCGATTAAATCAGTGCTATTTCGACCCGTTAATCCGACAGTCTCGCACTCCGACTCCAACACACCTAATTTGCAACAAATTACCGAAATCACTTATTAATCAGTCTCGTTAATCCGACACAGTGATCAGCCTCCTCCGTGGTTATCTGCCCGCGAGTACACAGTAGCTGCATATTACAATGGCTGCAGAGATAAACTTGCTAAACAATAAACAATTAATGCTTTAAATAAAGAAAAGAGGATTGATCACATTCTTAGATTACCTGAATCTTATTTATATTTATTTTATATTTTTTATTACGTGTTTGAATCCTTATC